GCCAAGCTAGGCTTAGCTCCTCGAGTGTTATCTGTGGAAGCTGTTCAGGAGTTGGATATAATTATTTCAAGACTCTCTACTGCAAAGCCGTGCAGAATAGTGCCGGTCTAACCTGTTTGCTTGTACAGCTTTAATCAGAAAATTTGAAGGTGATTGTTTTGCCATGAAGATGCATATGAGAGCATTTTAAACCACTACAAAATGACTAAAAGTGACACCATCTTATGGAAGGGACTTGCACATGAGCGTTGTGCTCTCTGCACAGTGGCTGAGTTTCTGAAGCCCTCTGTTCTTGCAGAGGAAGGGAACAGTGCAGTATACAGTAGCTCATTCCTTTGGGGTCAGTGAGGGCTGTGACTGTGGCTGCTTAGGTGCATGCCTCGGTCTTATCCTCCCACTGAACTCACAAAGTTACATGKGCAAAAATCATGGCAGTRTTATATAATTATATCCTTAAGTATTTATATTTCAAATCTATTGTAATGACAATTACTAGAAGCTGTCCTACCATCTCTGAACTGAACATGTTTTAAATACAATGTTTTAAYTTCTCTGAGTAAGAGAAATTTGAAAAACTTTGAAAAATCCTGGTAAACTAATACTGGAAAGGTAYTGACAATGAACAGTAATTTTCAAGAATGCTTATAGCTACCATGAGCTATCCTCAAAACTAAATGATGTAAATTGCTAGAGCTGCATGTTGCTGCTATTTACATTACAACTTAGTGATTTGCTTAAAAAAAAAAAAAAAAAAAAAAAAAAGAAAAAAGAAAGAAAAAGAAAAAAGAGAAAAAAGGGAGGTTGCATATTGCTCATTGATGTTTACCTGCTCTGACAGATTTTCAGTTGCTTTATTGTAACAGTGAAGTCAATGACTTAGAGTTGGTTCTACCTGAAACTSTTAAAGTAACACTCTCAACTTTGAATCTAGTTTTCTTAAATTTTAGGTCTTAAGCAGGGTGCCCACTGAAGAGATGCAAAGGTGTCCGAAGTGTCTGCTTCGCTGAGTTCTGGGTGGCCTTTTGCCACGGGTGGACCTTAAACGCACTCTTTGTGTCTGTGTGCATGTGTGTGTGTGAAAGTGCTGCAGCAAGTAAGATAAGGATTCTAGCTTCCCAGGTATTTTAGATTTGTAACTTAGGCCTGTAAGTGAGTTACTACTGTGTTATAGTAAATTTTAAGCTAATCAATTGCTGAGTAGCTTCAGCTACCTATTAAGTGTCATTAAGTGGTAAGCTTTGTTAAACTTAAATGATGCTAAGTTTGAGGTCYGTAGATTWTCAGATCTGTTAAACTTAAGTTCAATTACGGAAGTCTACTAACTTCACRTGTTRTTCAGCTTAGCATTTATTAATTTTAAGTTCTGTTACTTTTAGGCTCTGCTAAGTTGATGTTCTGCTAAAGTTAAGTTTTGTTAACTTTAGGTAATGCTATGTTTTAATTCTATTAAGTTCTGTTGAAGTTAAGCTCTTTTAAATATTTTAAGTTCTATTAGGTATAATTATTGTAAAGTTTTAGTGAAGTTAAATTTATGTTTTAATAAGTTTAAGCTCTGTCAGACTTAATTTCTGTTAAGTGTTGTCAAGTTTAGATGATATTGCTTTTGAATGACATTAAGTTTAAATGAAATTAAGTTTAAATTTTGTTCTAATATGCTCATTTAAATTGAAATATTAAGYTCTTTTGTTATAGAGACAAGATGAAACCCAGTGAAACAATTATGATGGAAATTGGTGAGCAGACTGGGGAGACAGCATTCAATGATTACCCAAATGCAAATAATTGCTCACGGCAAAGGACAGGGAAAAGCCTTGCACAAGATGGTAGCAGCCTGACATGCAGCCAAGTGCAGTGCACAGATGCTGTCTGGACCCAGAGCTGTTTCTTTGAATTAGAGCCTCCTCCTTTTTACAGAGCTGTACTGGTAAGAGCCAGGTTATTCCACCACCCTTCAGGACCGGACATCGAAAATGGGATTGTCTCAGGAAGTAGGTGTCTYTCCAGATGTTTCATATTCGTCTGCTCTAAGTACATTATCCCTGCTTGCAGCTCAAGGCTGTCAACACTGCACAGAAATGCTGAAGAGGTGTTCTTGCACCTTAACCAAGTGACAGCTCAGTCTGAGGTCAGTGACTGACCAYAATTTTATAAAGGTGCAATATTACATTTGTCAAAGAGCTGTCACCCCTTGGCCTTGGGACAATTTATGGAATTTGAAGTCAGAAGGAAGATAATAATCACAGTGAGATCATCTATTCATCAGAAGTTCTTATTAACGTTAGGAGCTGTGGAACAATTATACATTCAGTTTSTTCACACATAAGAGTGATTTATTGTGCTTCCATCAGTGACTTGGGGGCTGCTGACTAAAAGTATGTCTCCAGAGCACGATTCCCACCAGAAGTGTAACCAGGTTACAGACGCACTGACATTTGGTGTGAGTCAATGACATTTATTTGCATACGAGTAAGTGGTTCGGGAGAATTCTCACACACTTTTTACTCACAGCCTCACTCCTCCCCGCCCC